AGCTGTAGTTGTTCTGGTGGCTATAGAGTCCCTTTAATTGTCGCATAATACATTCTCAAATTTAAAAAAATGTGATTGATAAAAAATAAACCCTTCAGTGGAAGAAAAATAGTTAACAGCAACTGTAAACACAACTGGTAATACCTGGTTTAAGGAACCCTCCAATCACCATAACCACTACAGCGAGTTTATTCACTAAACAGTGAACTGTTGTAAATCTAAAGTCAAAGCGGAAAATGTAAACTCCAGATAATCTAACTTGTAAAAGCAGCTCAATTGCATCAATGCAGCTACTTTTTATTATGCAGAAACAGAAGGAGGAGAGCATACATACAACAACAAAAATATCAAATGAAAGTTATATCTCAGTAAGGGAGTACAGGTATCAAACACATTTATAATTAGAGGAACACTATAGCGGTAGGAATAATAATGTGGATTCCCAACTATGTAGTGCAACTGTCACTGTTTATGTGATCAGGCCCTTGCTACCAAGGGTTGAAATGGTGAGTTTTCTTACCTTTTCTCCCTTACAGAACTGGCTGAGATCATAAATATTGATTTTCTTAGCCAAAGCAATACTCTGAGACCATCTGATTGAAATAGTGGAGTTTTATTCCACTATTTCGTTATAAGCACCCTTTTAACACTTAATTCTTTCTAGCGCCCAGGCTCCCTCTGCACTGGCTTGTCTCCTCTGCCAGTGATGTGGCGCTGATGGGGAACCTAATGTGCTTACGTGCTTAACACCACACACACATTAGAGTTGCCACTTAGGAAAGTACTGAATCAATGCTTTCCTATAGGGAATTGGAAGACAGTGTAGAAGACTTCATTCCCTTGTGTTTGGTTGTCCCCCAAAGTGTGTGGTCCCCCCTTTTATACCTCCCCAAATACTGACCTCCCCTGGCTGTTAACCACAAAAGATGTAATTAACTGCTTTCCCTGGGTGGCTGCCATTCGAATAACCAAACGCACGTGGTCCAGTGCATGGCGGCCATTTTGTCTTCCGAACGCAAGCAGCGGTACATGGTTGTCGAATGCCTTAAACTGTTTTCAGCCACGCTGTCTCGCGAACCTGGGCAAATATGGTACGGCTGCTCGTGCAACTTCTCGACCAACTAGACGAATGGCGTTCGGGAGATAGGAACTACCGACTGGGGGGAGCATTCATCGTGTGTTCGCACAGGAACCCCTGAAAGGAGACTGGCAGTTGTCCTCAAATCCATGGAACTATTTGGGGCTATCGCCTTGTGGCCGGCCGGTCAGAACTTTACCCGAATGGCAATTTCGTTATATCGAACGGAGCTCTGTTTGGATATGTTGTGCGCTCAGATCCAAACTATTCAGGGATATAAAACTTGTGGGGTTCCTGTAAATTATGAATATTTTTTGGAGTGTTTTTGTATGTTTTCTGTATTTTACTATAACTGAGAGATAATTGAGTTACTCAATTTTGACTCAATTATCTCTCAGAGAATGGGTCCCTGGGGAGGAGCTTGTGTATATTTTGTATGGAGACCCCATGCTGGGAGTCTGTTCATAAAAGGTTGTGTTTGAGCGAAATAAATCAGTTGTACTCCCAGAACTGTGTGTCGTCCACATACTGTGGGGAATAGAGCTATTCACATTTCAGCTCCTTGTTCCAGAGTTCCTGCCTTAATGGATCCTGCGGAGGGAAAAGCACTTTACACAGACCACTTTATTGAGATGACGTGGTCTGGGTGCCTATGCCCCTTTAAATGGATCTAAAACGATGTGTTTCAATTAGTTATGGTTCTGTAAATTTTCGTTTTGTTTTCCATTGATTCAGAAATTAAACAAGTTGCAAGGGTTTAACATAGACACAACCTCACAGAGCATTCGCCACACGCATATATAACACAGGCCAAATTCCTTAAAATACATAAACGCTAAATTTGAAAAAAAGCACTATATTGGACTTCACAAATTTTATTTTGCACAGCACTTCCAAACGTTGCCTTTGGAAAAATAATACTCAATTATCACTGGAAGTCACACAGCGGTATGACGATTTTGAGGAATAAACACTTAACAAGTTTTGTCAGAAAATCAAAGGGGTATCCAACAACAGATCTAGTCAAAGATCAGGAAACAAAGCCTACTCAACCAATTTCATGTCCAGGTAGGTAGCAATTAGGTAAGAGAAGTTTAGGGGGTTACAATGCTGAGGAATCTCGTAGTTAGAGAAAGGAAATGTCATTCCAGCCTTGTGTGCATTAGGGAAATCAGAGTAACATAGCAAGACTATGCAGCAACCATTGCGGTTTAACTTTTGTAACTGGGTTTTCAATTTACTGAAATAAATAAATAAGAGGTCAGTCAGACTTTTTTCTAACACCATTATGTTAATGGTTTTCAGGTGAGGCACACTCTAAAAAGCTTTCTAACTCACAGCCTGCATGCATTTATTGCCAATAAATATCTCTAATAAGACTTGATTAATAATGAAATGATGTGAGATTTCAGGGTTGAATGAAAACAGTTTTAAAGAGCTCACACTCAATGTGGAGCACAGCCTGCCCTGGATACCTCTGTTATGGCTACTCCTGCCCTGGGCTTGCTGGCCCCCATCCTGGACACTGGGTACAGCTGTCCTGGTGGCCCTGGGTGTTTCAGTCCAGAGTACTCCTGCCACAGATGGTCTTGTCCTGGGTGACTCTATGCTGTGTACCCCTGCCATACACGGCACTGGGCAAGTCTTTCCTTACCACTTGCTACCATGTCATGAGGGTTACCATGCCATGAGGGTTACCATGCCATGAGGGTTATAATACCATGAGGGTTACCATGCCATGAGGGTTATAATACTATGAGGGTTACTATGCTATGAGGGTTACTATGCCATGAGGGTTACTATGCCATGAGGGTTACCATGCCATGAGGGTTATAATACCATGAGGGTTACCATGCCATGAGGGTTATAATACTATGAGGGTTACTATGCTATGAGGGTTACTATGCCATGAGGGTTACCATGCCATGAGGGTTATAATGCCATGAGGGTTACCATGCCAGGCAGGCAATGCCCCCCATTTCCCAGGTGAGGTCTCTCATTATGTCCCCCTGTCTGCCCCCATGGTGGGCTGTCTTACCCTGTCCTGGGTGCTGCTGCGCTCAGGACTTTGCAGTCAGTGCCATCACGGAGAGCCCTCTCTGCCATCAAACAAGTCGGTTGCCATGGCTCCCGGGCTCGGCGTTGTTAGGGAGGGACTTCCTAATCAGAGAGTATCGGGGGGCGTGGCCGGGGAGGAACACGCCCTCTTAGAATAACCCCGCCCATACACCCCACCGGCCGGAGGAAGTCAGACCGCTGCCCTCTCTATACCGCCCGCATCATACCGCCCTCACTATACCGCCCGCCCTCACTATACTGTATACACAGAGCTCACTATACCGCCCTCACTATACTGTATACACAGCCCTCACTATACCGCCCTCACTATACTGTATACACAGCCCTCACTATACCGCCCGCCCTCACTATACTGTATACACAGAGCTCACTATACCGCCCTCACTATACTCTATACACAGAGCTCACTATACCGCCCTCACTATACTGTATACACAGCCCTCACTATATCGCCCTCACTATACTGTATACACAGAGCTCACTATACCGCCCTCACTATACTGTATACACAGCCCTCACTATACCGCCCTCACTATACTGTATACACAGAGCTCACTATACCACCCTCACTATACTGTATACACACAGCTCACTATACCGCCCTCACTATACTGTATACACAGCCCTCACTATACCGCCCTCACTATACTGTATGCACAGCTCACTATACCGCCCTCACTATACTGTATACACAGCCCTCACTATACCGCCCTCACTATACTGTATACACAGCCCTCACTATACCACCCTCACTATACTGTATACAC